TGATTCTGTTATTGTAGTTATTTACTTTTCAGTTTTATATTGTTATGTGTTATGATGTAAACACCAAGGGCAGATGTGTCCTTTCATGTAACTAGCATAACATATAAATATTAAATTAAAGTGGCGGTGGCAGAATATTGAGATTCTGTTCTTCTCCTCAAAACTGTGTTCTACTGCTCTCTCACCACTCTTTCTCCTTCTTGTTCACTTTCTCCTCTCTTCGAACCTGAAGTTCCTGAGTGATCAAGACTGATAGCAGTCTTGAACAACTACACTAATCAACACATTTTCTTTTCTTCGTTTCCTATAACAAAAATAAGGGTTCACCCCTTATATTTTTTGAATTTTCTTTTCATGAATTTGTTGATTTTCTATACTTCAACATGAACTCTATACCTTTCTTATGAAAATTATGAATAATTATTAAGGAAATATGGTTATGGTACCTAGGGAACTACCCTAGGATCTACATTTTCTACATAAAAAATCCATCGTCTAGGCAACTAGGCAATAAGGCGCCCCCCTGGTGACTAGCCTCGCCTTGGCGCCTTGAAAACTATGCATCCACGTTTCCCACACACATCCTCTCTTTCCATCAAACACGATACAACTGGTGGCTGCTTTCTGGATGCTAAAGGTACCAGAAATCCCTGGACTATGTTTTGATTTGTCAATTCCCATCGGCCATAGAGGAGCTGAGAAGAACTGGCCCTGAGTTAACACTTAAAATTTCATTACCCATCAAAGTTGCAGAGAAAAAAAAAGTGAGACACTGGATGGATTGGGTGATTCTCTTAAAGCTGAGATTTCAGCTGTTATCGAAGGAACTCAAAGGGCAATTGAACTGAATATCACCAAATTGGTCATAGAAGGCGATTCTAAACTGGTAGTGGATTGGGTGAGAAATGATGCTGCTGATTTTTGCAACTACAGCAACGAGAAGAGGAAAATTAATTGGTTAACCAAGAACATTGAGGTGAAGATGAGTTGGGTTAAAAGAAGTGCTAACTCCTTTGCTGATGGGTTAGCTAAACAAGGGGCATCTAGGGACTCTTTGTTCTGGGCTATCTTGTAATTGTTCTCGTGTCTTGTTGTTTTGGTTAGGTGAGATAAGAGAGTTTATCTCCCTCTTCTTGTACCTGTGTTTTTTCTCTCTAATTTTAATAAAATCTACGAGTTATTGATAAAAAAAATGACAATTTAGTTTTGGGATTTGGGAAAAAGGGCAAAATTGGGTTTTAAAAAGTTACAACAGTCATGTGCAATCACATGTGGATGGAATGATGGCATGTGATGGCATTATAACAGTAGGGGTAGAGTTGGTCAATCGTCAGAAAACTTGGGGGGGGGGGTACTTTAAGGGATTTTGCAAACAGTAGGAGTGGGAGACTCATGAGGGTTGAAAAAGGGAATTTGATGGCCATGTATTCTGGTCCAATTAGAGTGGGAGACTCGTTGAGGGGCTGAGTTATTAGCAGCTCTGGAAGGGGTTCGAAGGGCCAAAGACCTGCATATAAACAAGCTGATCATAGAAGGAGACTCTGAGACTGTACTTAGCTGGCTAAAGGAAGACAACTCTAGGTTTTCGAACTACAACAATGAAAAGAGGAAATTTAAATGGCTTACCAAGGACATTGAAGTTCTATGCACATGGGTAAAGAGATATGCCAATTCATTTGCAGATGGATTAGCTAAGCAAGGGGTGAATAGGAGTTCAGTTTTTTGGTCCCAGTTGTAAATTGTAATAGCTCTTGTATTTTTGGGTGTACATTGACAGTTGTGGGGAGTTAAGATATTTTAGCTCTCCTCTCTTGTATTATCTTTTTCTTAAACAATTAAGGAATCTTCTGTTGTTGATAAAAAAAAGTCAATTTCCTAAAACTTAGGGGTAGTTTAAGAGATTCCCCTACATATTAATACTAGCATATATAGAAGTTTTTTGGTAAGCTAATATATGGACATTTTTGTTCTCATAAATAATAATATATACTAGAACATCTAGAAACAAGTATGGCTTATTACATATTATAGGTTATTAATTATGCACTGCGCTACTGAGTACAAAATTTATTTAGCATTGGTGATTATTAGCAAATTAAATTGAGTGATTCTAAGGATTACAAGTTCATTTTTTTAATTTTGTACTGCATACAAATGCATCATACACTATTCACTTGTAAGTCCCCAATTCGTTAGTTTGAGTGTGTCCCACGTACGCAATACCCATATGTGTCATGTAAGATGCATTTGCATGTGGTACAAGAAAAGTTAATATTGATTTTATGTATAATAGAGGGCTGATTATATGTGATCCTTCGAATTTTATAGTTAATATTGAATAACAATAAACAGGACCCACGGGAGAAATTGTCACAGCTGCAAATGATAAGGATGAAGCCATAGTCATTGCAGAATTTGATCTGGATAAAATCAAATCCAAGAGACATAGCTGGGGAGTATTTCGGGATCGACGTCCAGACCTTTACAAGCTTCTTCTGACATTAGATGGCAATAGTTCTTCACTGTGATGCCAGTCACTATGCCTTCCATTTTAGTTCAGTACGGTAGGTAATCAACAGAGTTCTTTTAATAAGAGGTAAATTATATCAAAGGAAAAGAATTAAGTATTGCAGATACTTGTTATCAAGTTCAGAACAATGATGCTTCATGTTCATCTTCACTAATTCCCCTTGTGTACTAAAACAGTTTTTCTTCCTTGGAAATAGTTTTTTTCTATTGTTAGGTGGGTTTACCTATTTTCGATAGAATTCTTTGAATCACCTTCCATTATGTAAAATTGCTTTTTTTTTTGGAAGGAAACCATATGCTGATATAAAGAAAGACATTATATAAAATATTGTTTACCTTAAAAAAGAAATTCTACAATCCTATTTCAGTAGAATGCAAATAAAATCATGAGCGCACATGGTTTACCACTGTCTACTGATGAGCGCACATGCGTTCCATCTAGGATTATTCGCACACTAAATTGTTGCTTAAATCTGAATATGATAATCATCCAATTGTAGTTGACAGTGGTAAATTTACTCCAAGCAGGGCCCATCAGTAGACAATAATTTGTCAAGTCAAATGTCTAGACCTAGCTAGTGTGGTGAATTTCTTTGCATTTGAGATCTCACAGCATCATATGACTCCCCAAAGCATATTGATAATCATATTTAGATAGCCTATAAAAACAGCCTATGACGTGAGATGTAAATCAGTCCTTTAATATCAAGATTAAACTTAGTGATTAGCAGAATAAAACAGGTCTGAATAACTGTGCAAGAGAAGATGGCGAAGAGAAGAGGTAAGAGGAGTCGAATAATTCTCCATTCTTCTCTAACCCTATTTTATTAATATCTAAAAATTTGATGATGACAAGAATGCCCTTAAGTGGGTGGCCAGCTTGGCAGTTACATAAAGAAAAATAAAACAAGAATAAATAACAGGCCCAGTAAGTGTGGCCCATCAACATAAAATAAAAGATATTACAAGAGAGGCTGTTAGGGGCCCATTCGGCCCAGTCTCTTTACAACGTGGAGACAGGAATATAGTGGAGATACTAGGGTATCTTTGATTCCAATCTTTCTTTGTCATACCATTTATATCTACACAAGGGTAGGGAAGCAGATTAGCAGAGCTTTCAGATGCAACATCAGGCACAGATTTAAGTTTGTCGCCCTGCAGCATGCTTGATTTCAACACCACTAGGCAGTAAGAACATTCTTCCAGTGTAGGAAAGCTTTGTGAAATCAGAGAACTAAGACCATTCACCTTTTCTTTGCATATGATGAAGGGAATAAAACGTCATTGTTTGTATGATATCCCAAGATTTTCAAAGCTTTCATTACTGGACAAGCCTTTTTCCTTGAAGAATCTATTCTCAAGTCAAGCATTCGTCAGTTTTTGCAAAAGGTTTGGTCCCAAGAGCTTTGGTATCATGCTTCTGATGCCATTTGATTCCTATTTTTCTTTTCCTTATTTTCCTCTTTCTTTATATTGCTTGGATGCTTGTTTTTCATGTTGGAGCTAGAAGTGTCATGTGGGTCTGACCTATATGCGCATAGGTGGATCTAGATTAGTCCTTAGCAAAGAATAGCATACACATTTGTTGTGGCTTACTGGTGAGTACTTAAACCAACCAATGGAGTAGTGCTTGAACTGTAACTTTGCAGTCAAAAAGCACCTCTATTTCCTGAAATATTTAAAAATGGCTTCAAAACCATTTATTTCCCTTAGAGGATACCGGTATGTTGTCTGTTTCAGTTACGCTTTTGTAAGAAAGGTTCTCTTGATTTTTTCCTCTCAACATGCCAGAATCCTTGACTCAGCATTTCTACATAAACTTCCCAGCCATAGGTGGCCTCTAAAGGACCTTATTTAATTTGCACCACGGGTGGTTCAGTTTTCTTTTCTTAACTTTTTCCCTCAATAATTGCGACTGACTAGATACATGATTATTCAGCGGGTCCTCCTGGAGAATTTGGGCTCTATGATACTTAAACAAATTCTTGTTCAGCCCTTTTATCGTTTAAAGTCACCTGGGATAGGCAAGATTCCCCGGGTGAAACACTATTCACTTTGTGCAACAGTTCAATAAGAGAGAAATCTTGATGATTTGTAATCTGTGCTGTTGCTGCAGTTCAATTTTCCTAGATGTCTTATACAGTGGGATCAAAATGTCTTTTTATGGTTAATCACAGAATAGAATTGATTCGAGGCATGAGCATCATGGTTGTTGTCAACGTGAGAAGTTGCCCTAGAGGCCGCCTCATTAGCACAACAGTAGGATTCCTTGTCTAAAGGGCAGTCCAATGCAAGAGGCTCCCACCAATGCAGGGTCTGGGGAGCAACAGATGTATGCAGCCTTATCCCTGCACAGAGGCTGTTTTCAAGATTTGAACTCTGGTCATCCAGGTCACAATGGGGGAATCCTACTGTTGTGCTAAGGCCCACTTTTGCTGTGAGATGCTTTTATATTATTTGACTTTGGATGTCATAATAATAAAATAGATATTACTAGATTAAATTATCCATTTTTATGTTTATATATTAATTTCTTTCTATTATTTTGTTATTTAGTAGGGTTCAATCAATACACTTGTTAATCTATTGAATCTTTGAAGACTTGAAAACTTAAGCCACTGGTTTGTTTGGTGGTAAGTTTGGGGAGGAAGTTGACTAACTTTCTCTGCAAAAGAACATGGGTAAAAATGCATTTACCCAGGTAAGTAACTTACCATCAAATGAACGGGGCCTTAGCAAGTAAAGGTGTTTATGGGTCGGATCAGTTTGGTTGCAGGCTCTTTGGCCAACTGAACCAACCTGGTTGGGTTGGGAAATTGGCCACCTGAAACTGACTGGCCATTAGTGGAAATCAATCCAAGCGTAATATTTTGGGTTGATTTATCGGTTTGGTCAATTGGTTCAAATAGCTGCCCAGAAGTAGTTTTTACTATGTTTTCACCAGGTAAAAATCATATTTTAAATGATATTTGGGTCGGGTTGGTTTTGGTCAGTTTACACGAGCAAAGCGAAACTGACTGGAAATAGTTAAAAACTGGCTAACTTGGGTTGAGTTGGATCGGTTTGGTTGGTTTGATCAGTCTTATAAACAGTTTTATTAGCAAGAAAAAATAAAAAATTTTGTCCAATCAACACATTCTTATCCTTATTCTTATTCTTTCACCCTTTCTTTTCTTCTTTTCGTAGGACAAAAAACAGGGGCTAAGTCTTTATATTTTCTGAAATTTTTAACCTTTTTTTTCTTCTTCTTCAGGTGAATTTTTTACGTTTTCATATGGAGTTATACTATTTATGAAAATTAATAGGTGATTACTGGTGAAAAATGGTCTCTGATAGCTATGGAACCAGGGAATTGCCCTAGCTTCATGGTTTTTATTTTTTATTTTTTTTTAAATTCACCGCTCTAGCCTGACCTCGACGCCTTTAAAACTATGATGAACATATATGCCGGTTTTATTAACACTAATCGATCAAATTTACGGAAAACTGACCAATTAGCCAAAACTCAACTTGCTCCGAGCCTCCGAACAATGTAAATATTGAATTAATTGCAGATCAGCAAACCATTGCAGGGACTAGAATAGTACTTGAATGATATCTGGCTTCTGAAACACACACTCTGGAATCCACAAATAACTTGGTCCTGGTTCATCAACTTGTTAGCAACAGTTCTTTAAATTCTGGTTCATGCAATGACAACTAAAAGTTAAAAGGAAAGAGAACAAATTAGCCAGAAAGTTTGGTTTAACTGACTACTTACTTGTCAGGACTGCAAACCTGTAGCTTCAAAGAAGCAACTGAATAAACACAAATGTGCAAACAGGAGGTATCATAATTTCTTGGCATTACAAGGGTTTTTAGCCAAGTGATGTTACTTGTAGCTATCAATTCTTTCTTTACCACTACATAGAATAGGTTACGAATATCATTATGTATCATTAAGGGAGAGAGCCGAGATGTATCTCCAGCTATGAGAGGATAACCATGGAGATACCCTGGACCCTCCAGTGAATGTACACCTAAAAGCCAAAAGCAATGGAGCTTTTAAACTTTTAAGTGAGCAGGTGAAGCTTCTATTCTCAGAATAGAGTTTCTTCAGTATGTGTAAAAGCTATTCTCAGAATAGCTTTTAAACTTCAATGATTTAGTTTCAATTATTGCATCCTGGAATATCAGACCAATAAATTGGGAAATCATCGAATTTGCATTTACTTTTTCCATCGGAAAGGCTTTTATCTCCCAAATTCACAGTAGTCTGTGCCCAGTAACCTACAATTACCATCCATCACAGCTAATCTAATCTGTGTTCAGCCCATCTACTCATCTAACAGATGGAATTATTCTGCAAAAAGTGGGAAAAAATTGCATGAAGAGAAAAAACCATTATTAAATTAACAATAATGATTTGCTTAGATGAGTACAGTTTTCTGATAATCCTCTCTCTCTCTCTCTCTCTCTCCCCTTTGTTTATGTCAAAGCCTTTGATGATTAATTGGGTATCCCATATTTTGCAGCATTCTGGGGGACTATTATCTAAAACAATCTAACAGTCCGAAAAGTAAAAAAACAAAAGGAAAGAAAAGCCTATAAACCTCTCTACAAAATAAATCTAACTTTGAAGCTGCAACAGAAACCCATCACTTCTTTTTCTCTGTCATATCTATCAAGTTGAATTAAAACACCAGACCTTGAAGATATTTATACCTTTAAGTTTTTATCTTCGTGATGCTAATTATCTTGGACGTTGTCTTTGCCAAGTTTTTTGGCTATTTCTTCTCTATGCTCTTGTTCTTTCTCTGTGATCACTGTTTCATCTCCTATTTCTTCCTCCGTTCCTTCTGTTTCACCTTCACCTTCTTCTTCCTCATCTTCTTCTTCATTTTCGTCCAAGATTCCTTCTGGTTGGACAAAGTGAAGTTTCAGACGACCATTTTCCCTACGTGCATGGAGGAATTCCCTGGTGGGGATTCTGATTTCCTTAAGAATAAATCTCCCATCATATCTGTAAGACTTGAAGCAAATCCATGGCTTCCCGCTCCTACCAATGCAAGAAATGGGTGGGGGAAAGGGCCTACCAGTTGTCCTCGATCTCTTGAATTCTCCAGATGTATTTTCCCACACTGAATATCTTGAAATACTCGATTTCTCTTTTTCTGTTCCTTCCAACTGATCGCTATTTTCATTCTTTGGGTCCTCCACATCATCGGAACTCTCAGACCCAAGTCCTTCCGTGCAGTGCTGCAGACTCTCTGAATTCTTGGACGAAAACCCATCAGCGTTCTTGGAAGAAGGTCCCGTGTATGGATTTTTCTTCTGGGTATCCAACAAAGAATCCATTGATGGATGGTTCTCGTCGTTATTTCTCTCCTCAGTGATAAGATTGCCATTGTTGTTGAAGTTGAGGAATCCTATCTCAGGCAATGGGTTTGGATCCATGAAGGAAGATGATGAGGAGAGCGATGATGATGAAGGTGATGTTGATAACGATGAAGCAAGAGAAGGCAAAGATGGTGATTTGGGGTTCTCTTTGAAGTGAAGTTCACCAAAAATCTCAGTGAAAGATGAGAGATCCATGGGGTCCATGGATTTGATCTGGTTCCACGGGGACAAGGATTCTATGAGCGTTTGATTTTCTGGTATTGGATTCTCAAACATGTGTTCAAGGCTACCACAGGCAGCCATGACTAATCTGTTCAGAAGTGATGAGAACAGAGAAAACAATAAAAGAAAGAGATCAGAGAAAGACAATCTGGTTCTGTTTATGAGTGGAGGGAGGTTAAAGGAAAAAACTTTAATACATCAGATGGATGAATATAACAGAAATACAGAGAGGGGGGGGGGGTTGATTATGATGTTAATGAGGAGACACACGGGGTTGGCATGGAGTGGTGGTGAAATAAAGGTAGAGCACCATTATTGGGATATTGTTTTGTTCTGGGTCTCTCAATTTGGAGTGAATTCGGGATTGGTGGAGAGAGAGAGAGGGAGAGAGACTTGGTTGACGTGTTTGTTTTACTGCACCACAGCCTCTACATCGTAATCTCTCCCTATTTATAGATGTTCTCATGTGCAACGCTTTAAAGAGAGAGAGAGAAGAAAATCTACTAATCTAGTACAACTTCCTCGTTCAAATATCTCTTTAGTAGTTGAAAGACTCGTGACCACAGATTTACTTCTTCAGCACCTCAAAACAAGTCTTTGCTTCTATTATGCTTTAAATTTTAATAACAATAGCACAGTAAAAAGGACTAAAAGAAAGAGTTGTTTATTAAGGGAGCATGAGCATGATTTCTCAGTTCGTTAGAATATATTCTTATGTCACCAATTTGCAACTTGTAGAACGTATATTTTGTACAATTAACAAGTAGGGTTCTATCTCTTCATGTCTGTTAATTCATTTTCAAGAACCTGATTCCCCACAAATAATTAATATGGGATAGTTAATTCTATTACATATGTATTTATGATTTGTTTTTTTAATTTCCATGATAGAGATAGTTAACATTCATAATAAGAACTGACTAGAAGAGTTAGGGGTAGACCAAAAAGGACATGGCTTATGATAAGAAATGATAATTTAACAGTAAGTATGACATTAAACAGAACCGAATGAAATAGGATTGAATAAGTAGAGCCCCATATAATTGGGATAAGGCTTTGTTGGAAAACGGATTTAGATGTGGGGCGCTCTTGATGGCTGACCCGACCTGATCCAGAATTAGAGGGAGTGGGAGGAGTTGTGTGTAGTTATGGAACTGTGCACAACTGCCCCAACGTGATGAGGTTTTAGTTCTTATATACTCTCAACTTTAAGTGGGTCAGTTCGAGTCCAGATCTCCTGCCCATGAGAATTCTGCCCACGTTTATTGAAGTCATACATGAAGAACATCTTATCCTCTGTATAGTATTATGCTGGGAGAGATGTTCCCAATTTACGGAGTGTATTGTGGGTATGCATGGGCAGAGTTCTCGTAGGTAGGGGACCCGGAGTTGATTCATTGTGCTCTCTCTTTGCTCTTTGAGATCAAGTTGGTGAGAAAACATTTGGGCTGTGAAAAACCAAGCATTCTTCACATTGTAACTATACTTTGACTGGCTGAGAATTCACGTAATTCAATTATTCAACCCACTCCTGGATTCGGATTTGCTTTCAGAAAGCAAATTATTCATCTCTAAATTGTTACAGGCATGGATGATGATGGTAATTTATTTTTATAAAATAAATAGATATGAAGACTACATATCATTTACTCTTTGGAACTGACAAAGCTTCATAATGGGCTTCTTTGTTTTGAATAGGTGTTTGTTAAACCATGAGCTGTCATCTGAAATTGGAATAAGAGTTGGATTTTGTAAGGGTGCAACTGGTATATATATTCTATAAATTGAAAGAATTTGCGATGTTCTGCATTAGAGTTGTCACTCAATTAGTTGGATAAATTAAAACTATTTTTAGGTATGATGGACAAATTTGGAAAGTGATTATTGGAAAAGTTTTATGATAAATTCGTATTATCATTAGAATTGCCACTGCGTTATTGTAATTTGTAATCTCTCGGTGTGTGGATGAATAAAATGTACTATTAGGGCCTCTCAGGTGGCTTTGAATGCAATAGCCTCTCTTTTAGGGCCCATTTGGCAGGACTTCAGTCTTTAGCTTTGATTGAGCAGCTTTCCACCTTGAAGAATCTACTAAAAATGGCTTTACCAAAAAGTCACTTTTGGGCTCAATAGAAGCATTTTTGGGCTTTTTGGGTTTTCCACCAAACATAGCTTCTAGGCTTTCCATGTAGGGCCTACCTTGCAAAGCTAGAAGCCGCTGAAACTGAAAGCACTCGAAAATGAAACTTAGTCTGACCTAGCTAACTTTCACAGTCATCTTCCTCGTCTGCACACCTGAAGTCTCGCTCAAATGACTTATTGGTTTGCTGCCCTGATCGATTCTTTTAAAGTCAGAGCTCTTAAAGTTATCAGAAATTATGATTTTCTTTTCTATATTTTGTTAATATGAATTTATGAAAATTTTCAATTTCATCAAGCCCATCATCCTTTTAGCAAATTTCAGAAGTTTCCTAAGGTCGTTATGCATTTCTAGTTGTTATCTTAGAAATGGTCTGGCGAGCCTATTTAACTCAACGAATTAGTAACAGAGAACCAGACATCCTCCCCCCCCCCCCCCTTTTGAATTCAAACTTGAGAAACGAACCCATTTTGGTTCAGTAAAAGGAAATCTAATAGAAGTTTATTAACTACTTAAAACTAGAGGAGAAAACAAAATAAATTTTATCTTCCGAAAAATCCAATACACAGAAATAATTATCAGAACATGTGATACACATCCATCTCTGTTAATCTGACAATGCATTCTGATCTCCATTTTCAAATCAGTGAAACCAAATTCAATCTTGGTTCATTCTGGAAATGAAACAAATGAGAGCCTACAGGTTAGAAATGGGCTACAGTAGACCAAAAAAGTGAGTTCCCTTCGTATGTGCTTTTCTGTCATTTGCCTCATCTTTTGCCCTATCAAAGACTGTTTAAAATTCATATAAATCAAGATTCCAGATTGATAACCTGTCTGATTTGATTTCCAGGGAAATTATAACACATGGTGCTTTCTCGAACGCCATCGAACCTCTAATCATATGCCCTATGGCCTAGCTGGCATGTTTGATTCAACAACGAGGCCGGCGTCTGCTGCCTCACTTTTGGAGCAAGCATCATGGAATATTCCATGAAGCTTTGTATCTTTCTGAGACAAATGATTGGCTACTATTACTGCTAATGTCCAATGTCAATAGTCTCTCAATAAAAGAAAAGAAAAGAAATGAAATGATAATGATGCCGACTTTTCTGGCAGTAAAGTCTGTTACAGAAGACTGCAATGCAGAAGGATCCTTCTTTTTCTCTGTAATGTTCACTGATTGAGGCTGTCCAGTTCTCCATCATGATCTCATCCGAGAATTAGAGGGCAAGGATCAATATCCAGTAGTCATAAAAAGTGGATCAAAATCCTGTACAGAGTTTACAACCTGGGGGGTAGTTTATTATCAAGGAAATTACTGGTTCAACTGCACCTTTATGGTTTTACCCAATAAAAACACAATAACAACCTTGCAAAAAAACAGGTTTGGCTTGTTCTGCACATTATTGGGAATTTATGTACTGTACTTAATAAGAATAATCTCAATTTCCAAAAGATGCCATTGCCATTTGGAAAGCACATTCTAGAACCCAGTAAATTTATACTTCAGATAATTGTTATTGACTTATTGCCAATTGCCAAAGAGATCCTGTTAAGGTAGCCTCGACGTAGTCAGTTGAAATAAATAAAATATTAAGAAATTGTTAAGGTAAAAGCACAAAACCACTGATATGGACTTTTCATGTGGATACTGGATGGAGGTAGTTTTGGGAAACCAAAAGATGTTAGTGTGGGATAACATGGAAATGTTATACATGAAACAGAAAAGGTTAAGAAACTCCACAAAGATATGAAACATACATGGCAATCTCTTTCTCAAGCTCCAAATAGAACATTCAGTGCCAACTTATGATCATATTAATCATCCCTCCAACTGGACTTTGCCACCATCAGCGCCAGGCTTCAACCCTCTCTGCCCTAGAATTTATACGGCTAACAATACTGATTCCTTTTGACTTCTCAACAGGTCCTGCCACCTGAACCACAGTATGCCCATTTACTTTTCTGGTTCCCTTCTTGAGATTAGAATTACTAGATTGACCAGTCTTGTTCTTACGGTTGTTTGCTTGAACACCTGACTTGTGACCATTAGCAATACCAGTCTCTGGTCCATTTGTTAAGGTGTCAACTTGAGTTGGAACTTCACAGGGGTAATCATCAACTGGAGAGTTGTTGTCATCAAGGTTGGCTTTGTCAATAGAAGGTTGAAAACACTGGGCTCCATCATCGAAAGTGGAAGCATCTTCAGCAAGTTGAGTGGGGCTTTCTGAAACTGGTTCCTTGCTAACAAACATATGCTCTGTCTCTTCTTTAGCAGAGGTCACATCCTCCAAGCAGGTCTGAGAAGGGTTGTGGTGACCATTCTCATCAAAAGGCTCTTGGCGTGAATCGGCATCTGTTTCTATCACTGAATCCTCTCTTTCTTTGAGAGTCCTTATTATCAGTGTTTTAAGGAAATTCATCACTTGCACTGCATACATCAGTGCAGTCAAAGGATCTGCCATCTGCAAAATAGAATGTTAATAAGAATTATGTTATACTCCATTGTCCATGTGGGGAGAAGTTGAATAAGAGAAAACCTAGAATATTTGTTTGATTTGTGTGTGTCTATTTGTGTATATGTGCCTTTCCATTCACCAGACTTTCAATGGCAATATAAAAGAGTGTATTGTTATAGATCATGACAATTATCTGGCGGATCAACTTTTGGCATATGAAAACGTCCTTGGTAAAACCAGCCATGATTTCATGATACTTCCTAATGTTTAATGACATAGACAGGTCAGAAAGTGACTTCTTTTCCAGGTGCACTAATATTTATTCTTCTTTAGCTCCTACAAGTGTTTGTTTTATCAAAAACACACAAAGAACAAAGAATTATATTATTAAAATACAACAAGTTTTGTAAGTTTCATTCATTTTGGCATGAACACTGTTTTATTAATGGTCTTGAAAGGACAAAAAATGGAACACTATTATTGTGTGTGAGAGCATAGACATATAAAAGGAAACACCTGGTTAACCTGACTTGAACCCAAACCAAGCGAGCCCAGTCCAAGGGAAGCTTTGACTAAGTGGCTATTAGCTGTTAACACCTGACCACTTATGCCAACTTAGCATAGTTCCTGAAGATTCCTAGAAAGTCCAGTATTAGGAAAGGAAAAAGAAAAACATAAATACGGAATTCACGTCCAAATGGAGCCCCAGATCCTCTTTCTCACTCTTGGACCCAGACCTGAATTTCTCTCTCTGAATGGACTCAGACCCTCTTCTTCTTCTTCCCACCAACTTCCTCTCTCTTGGATCAGAGACCTTCTCCTGCCCCCCACCAACTTCAATTTCTCAATCTCCCCTCCATCAAACCACCACCATTGCCTTGGACCTTTGGAGGCTTGACCACCACCTCTGTGGAGTCCACCCTCTTACAATTGGATCAGATGCCCAAATCTATACGCCATGGATTCAGCAATAAGGAAATAGAGAATCGGATCCTTGTTCTCTGCATCCACATCAATCTCCATAATGGTCCTGGTTAAAAGTGGAACCCAATCCTTTGGATGCGCATCATCTTGTGTGTGTGTGTGTGTGTGCGTGCATGTGTGTGTGTGTGTGCTTGCACACGTGTGCCTGTTTAAAATAGGGATTGGTCTACTAGTTGTGTCATTTAACAAAGGAATCTAAATGACCTAGGACTTCGGCTTGGCTATCTGACAAGGTGCTCAGAAGGGACCTTCATTTCCCTCTTTCCATTTTCCAATCATAGGGCAAATTTCAGCTTAAAACTCTTAGCCACCTGACCAAAATAAGACCCTCTTTGGGGCAATTTTAAATAAAATGGATAGATTATATAATTCAAGGAAAATTGCAATAGGGTTGGATATATGTGAATTGGAAGAGTGAGGAGATGGCTGATCCAGAGAGAAATGGATGGTTTGGATTGGTTAAAAGTACCCTTGATCTTCCCCAACTAAATGATTCAAGAAAAGAGAAATGAGATTTCTTTTTTCTTTCTTCTCCTTTGAGGTTGGGGAAATCAAGTTTGAGGACCAAAGCATACAACCAAGTGGATGTAAACTCCAAGAAATTACTATTTCAAAACAATCCAAATATGTGACTACAATAAAATGCATGGAGATTTAAATATTTCTTACTCACTTGAGTCATGTTTGGAGCAAACACCATTGCAACATTGCGTGCATTCATCTTGTTTATATGTTCCTGCTGGACAACATCAGCCATCAGGTTGATGGCCCAATCCAGCAGAGCAGCTTCTGTTGGGGGTAGAAGCCTCACAAGCTGTGCACATTCTTCTTCTGACTGGCATTGCATTACCTGCTCTGGTGAAAGTGAATCCAACACTCCACTAGGCAGTTCTCTAAACCAAGCCTACAAAAGCATCAACATATCAATATTAATATAGCATATAGGCACAAAGCAACAAGGTTCAAACTTCAAAATTGAAATCACCCTCAATACGAAAGGTATTTTTGTGCAAAGAAATGATATGTTTTTTTTTCCGTTTGTCTTGTTCTATGAGAGAAAAGTGAGTCGATGCCCATATAAAAAACATTCAATCTAGAATGTGAAGATACAAGAGACACTTTGGTTTTAAGAAGAAAAAAATATATAACAACTAAATTTAAAAAAGAACTACCAAAATACATGAGTAATCAGGAACCAATGCTTCCAGAATATGACCATATTGGCTCACTTTAGGGAACAACCTTAGCCCATGGTAGACTAATTGATATCGTAACCACTTAAGCAGATCACTGCACTTACAAACTTTGAAAAGAATGAAATAGATCTACAAGTAAGATCACGGAGGGGAGCCAGGTGCTGGCTATGCAATCTCCTAACTGATATCTATGGATGGTGAGTTCCCATTGACAACCATGTACACTCACCACACTTGCTCCTAGGCAGAACATTAAAAGGGAGAAGAATATAACATCATTACTTTCAGATGAGAACTAACAAAATGAATGGATGTCTTCCAGAGTCCAAAATAGTCCAATCATTACAAGAAATGAAGAAATATTAGGTCATTAAAAGCAGATCATGATCAAATTGCAATAATACCTTAATAAGACCTGCGAGACAGTGAACATCAATTCCATCAGGCACAATTCCCCTATTTATTTGGTCTCTGACATACTCCTCTTGACTATTTTCTGCATTAATTCTGAATATCCCTTCTGCCTGCACATTTAAGCCCAATGGAGTAATGAAACCTAAAAGCCAAAAAAGATAATAGGAAAACCATGTATACAAAGGACCAGATAGTGTAAAAGTCCTTCATTTCAAGTAGAAGGTGTATCATAACAAGGGAAAGGCAAAGGAAAACACAAGTATGGTGGCATACCTGCAACCCCCCCTGAGAGTACAAGCGTCTTTGCATCAGCAGAAGTATTGTTGGTACACTATTCCCTCTAGAATCATATGATAACTGCATGGATTCTGTTGAAACCCCAAAGACACTTGTACTACAGAAGAAGCAAATCCAAGTCAAAAGATTCACACAAATGCTGGTGCTATAGCTATCTATGTAAAGAGCCATTACCCAATCAATGTTGGTCCCAGCTATCCAGGGTCATGGGAGAGGTAGACTTGACAACCCCTGTTCTCATAGTTGTCAGCCCAAGATTTTAACATTGCACCAAGCAATGACCCTTTTTCCAAGAGACGGCCATCCAGGATATTGGAAAGGGTGGACTGGATATGGATATGATGACCATCTTCAAGGGCCATTACCCAATGCTGTTCAGCTCCTGGGTATGGACTAGATACTCAATGGCTATCTACATGATTTTTAATGCATAATAACCGCAACTTAAAAACTTTTGATCCTATCATTGAATCCATATTGGTTGCAGTATGAGTTGACATTCGATAATGTAAGAAACTAAGCCAAGTAAATAACAGATCTCATATAAGTGTAATAATGATTTAGAAAAGTCAACTTAGAATCTATTGGGTGGTGAGATCAATTCCTGTATGCTTGTACTGGGGAGCTTTGGACCCAGGGGTTGAAACTCAGATCTGACTTCTTGTACTCATTTTTTGTTCCCTGACCAGCTAAATGTTGTAACACCATTTATTGTCTTGTTACCCTGCTACTAGAACCTTATGACAGGGTATTTTTCTATTCACCATTAATGTGTGCATCTATAATTATTACTTATAAAAAATGTATTCTGTCAGTCTAAGTGTTGGATGAGTTCAATATGATAATTGAGACCCTAACCCTTGATGATAGCCCAAGTACCTAATATAACCTACAATCTCATGCAAATAATTTTGTGATTTGAAGATGCAACTTACATGTAAATGCAAATAAACCAACATATGTAAAGACATTATACATAGACCACATAATGTGCAAAAATATGATATGTAAACATACACATAGCAAGTATATAAAGACATCAAAACACAAAAAGGTTAGATCAGATTTTATTATCATTGTCTTGGATAAGTTGCAAAACATATTCAGTATGCAAATTATATACTTAGCCATGCTAAGACCTAGCAGTGTAGCGGTATAATGTGATGGTTTACTCTTCTAATTTGCAAAAAGTTCAAAAATTAAACAGGGCTTCATGCTTATTTAGACTTTTTCTCTTGCAATTAAGAGTACTATGCTGCTAGAGCTGCTCATTGTAGACAACTATATCGTAATGAAGAAACATCGGATATCTCCTTTTCCTGTCATTTTCTGTATATGGCACAAAATTCTATATTTTGTTACTCACGATTATGGTCAATTTTGTTATATTTTATTATTTGAATGGTTTTTTTGCTAATTTAGTATTAAATAAGTGTAAGATTATTGAAAACAAAAGAAAAACAAGATAATTAAGTAATTTTCCTGGATGGATACTCCACAAGGAGAAGACATCACACTAGTAGATTTCTCTAGTATGCTTAGATTGTTAAAGGATTTACCATTGTAATGATACAGTCCCTCGTTAATCAGCTTGAAAATTTTCTTGACAAATATTCTTTACTTAGCAAATATATCTGAAATAAGGAGACATATGAAACAAGAATGAGGTTGTCAAAATCCAAGTACCCTATTCAGAGAGAAACATGCTTGTCTTCTACTTTTCTAATTCTACATGGGTCAGTTCCCTCATTTAGAGAAAAAGGTCAGACTAGTGCCTGAGGGTCCTGTCAATGGGGGTCTGGGGAGGGACAGATATATGCAGCCTTACCCCTGCACATACAGAGAGGCTGTTTCGAAGGTTTGGACCCTGGTCACCCAGGTTGCAATGGAGAGCAACCCAACCATTGCAAGGAGGGAACTGGTTCAAAGGTAATCCAAACATCTGGGTTTCACACACACAAAAAAAATAGTCTTTATTATCTTTATAGATTATTTTTATAGTATCAATCTTCAATCGTAAATTTTCAATAAAGAAGAAGAGGAATATTAAATGAAGAAGAGTGTTAAGATAACACTCAGAAATTAAAAAAAAAAGGAAAGAAAAGAGAGTCTCTTCAAAAGAGACTATGCAAAGTACACAAACCCTATTCCCTAGACATCCTTATTAAATAAATCCAAACACGCCCAAAATTCACTACCAAAAGAAGCTCTCTGTATACTCTTGAACTCCAAGTGAGCTAAGATCTGGCCCAGTTAAAGAAAAAAAGATAGAAACAACTATAATAAACAATCCAGAATTTCATGTCTTCCTCCCACTTTGGACCAAAAAAAGATAGCAAGGTGTGATTGGGCAGACATTGCCCACAGTCAATGCTCAGGACTCATGGCAGAATTGGAATGGACCTAGATCTCCATGATTCTGTAACAATTTATTCTTAAAAGCAGAAAAAAGCTGGCCGCTCTCAGAGTCAAACCTGCATTCTTACACCAAGCAAAGGCTATAATTTTATACTAATAAAAAATTTAAGAGAGAGAGAGAATAAGGAAAAGGGAAAAGAAAATTCCTAATTTTCCATTGCCAGGTGGTTATATGTGGTAAAAGTGGTCAACTAGAATACCTGAAACTCTGCCTAGTACTGCTCTAAATAGATACAGCACAGGAAGTGCATTTGCTTCAGTATTAGAAATAACAACAAAAGCCAAATGCACATCAAAGCATGTTGAACCTTCCGGCATTCTCAAGACCCCACTAGAACTATCATTAAATTATATCTAAAGACCTGTGATTGTGGTTTCAAGCATGAAACAATTTCAAACCATAAATCCCTTGAAAGAAAACTAAGAAAATAAATAAATGAAAAAGTATACAACCAAGTTCCATCCAATTGATTCATACACACGAATTGTATAAATTGTAAGATTCACAAATCATAAGATTCAAATGATAATCCTATTTTTTTTCCAGGAAGGGGTTCAACCATAGGACTTGAACCAGGAACCTTGGAAATTGTGAAATTTATTATAAATCATAAGGCTCTGACAATAACGGCTTGAACTCAAAAACAAGTGATAGACCCAAAAAGTTTTGACCCAACCAAGGTAAGAGAAAACATTATTTGCCTGCTACAGAATTCAGTCTCATACCAGAAGCATAAATTTTTTTACCTCCAATACAACCAGATGAGTAGAAATTTAAGCAATGTTCTCAACGATAAAGAATTGGAAAAATCAATTAGCAAAGAAGCAGTCAATTTCGGGTACTCTAAAACTCAGCAGGTACAGAAGACAACGGGAAGTTTGCTCATTACAAATACTGTTCCATGTCTAAAGAGCGAAAGTGATTGCAAATCTATGAAATGCAATACTATTAACCCCATAATTCTTCTTATCATCCAAATTGACCCATAAAGTTTTCCTTAATATGAAGAACATCTTGGGAAAAGATTAAAAATCCATGAGGATCACTGTAATCTTCTTAATTGAACCTTCTTCATATTATTAGTAGCTTTAAGATAACACATGATTTTGACCTTCTTCAAATATTAATGTTAAGATGATACAGGATTTTGAAAAGATTTTAATAAACTCAATGGTTTAGGGAAGGGTGAGGCTTGATGATAGCAAGATCCAGAGCAGTGTTTTAAAAGGCGTGGGAGGCCCTCCAGGCGAGGTGCTCCTAAAACGCCCATAGGCATATGCCAGAGGCATTGACACCTCTGAGACGTACGCCTCAAGATGCCTCTTGCGCTTTTTTCTTGAGGCGTGCTAGAGGTGTACGCCTCATGCACATCTTATATAAAAAGACAGAAAAAAAAAAGAAAAAAGAAAAAAGGAAAGGAAAGGAAAAGAAAAGAAAGGGAAGGGAAAGAAAAAGAAAGAGAAGAAAAAAAGAGAAAAGGAAAGGGAAGGGAAGAAAAGATAAGGGGAAAGAAAGTGGTTCGACAAGACCCCCCCTTCAACTAATGTTATGCATCTTTATTCTTTTTAATATAAAAGATTTTTATTAAAAATAAAGAAAAAACGAGATCCCCCCTTACTCTTCATCCTCCTCCTAACCCCCTCCTCTTAAGGAGGCTTACGCCTCCTTGTGTTCGGGAGGCTTACGCTTCTTGCATTCTGAACTATGCCTCACGCCTCTAGGTAGTGGAACGCCTCGCATCACGCCTACGCGTTTTAAAACATTGATCCAAAGCCAATCCAGAAATTCAAATTTTAGCTAGACACCATAACAGTTAACAGGGTTAAGCTCCCAGTTTCCACCTTTGGTGTACAGAGACTCTATCAATTGTTTTTCATTTTATCAATATCAGGTAGATTTTATTCATAATTATTGTGCATGCAAGAATATTTTCTGGTTAACTCCATTCAGTAAAAACATATCGGAATTACAATTCAATAAATCTGGCAGTTTTTACTCATGGGGTAATGAGGCATTGAAGGTTGTAATGACGAATTCCATGGGTGATGAAACCAATTTAAGTTCATGAACACTAGGATTCCTCTGAGGCCAAAGTTTTAAAATAAGACAACCGAATATTTGCTTGGCCAGTCGTTTGTATCAGCCAAACCACTCTTAAGAAAATTGCAATTCCATATAATTAAGAAAGTATATTGTTCTTTCATTCCAGAAAGTTTCAACAAAGAACGTGATTCTTAAACCTTCCACTGAACTCAGCAAAAACAATTTCAACAAAAATCTAACGAATCCGCCAGAAAATCACTGATTAAAAAAAAAAAGAACTCATACCCACCATATAAAATCATTAGAAGATTACCAAATTCAAATAGAAAATCGTCAAAAGGAGGATGTTGAACAAATTCAGCTAACCTGGCACTAGGAGGCCTCCTGGGAACCTCAGGTTCGAACTCCACCGGCAGCCCGAGGAACCCATTAAACCGATCGAAGGTGACATGTGCAACATGGCGAACGTTAGTCGGCCAGCCGATCTCCATCGAGCAAAGCTCCTCCCTCTCAGTCCTACAAGCAATCAAAGACTTGCGAAAAGCAGTTACCAAAAGGGCCAACAGAGACAACTGATCTCCCTCCTTGTCTCTTTCCTTCCGCTCCCCGTCCTCGTCGGTACCCGAACCGTCGTCGCCTTCGTCTTCGGCTACAGGAGAAGAGCTATGGTCGTTGTTGCTGCTGCTGTTAATAAGGGACTGAGACTGGGTCTGCATCTGATGGGTCTGGCGTGCGCCATCATTGGGTGTGGGTACGCAAGACAGGGAGCTTGGAGATGAAGGGAAGTGTGATGGGGAGTGGAGGACTTCCGTCATGGCTGGAAATGAAAAGGAGCTCGGGAGAAAAAATTCAACAAAAAATAAGAAAAAAACATAAAAAAAAAGAAATTATGCAGCTAGAAACCACTAGAAATGCAGGAACTTTTGGGAGAACTAGAGAAACAATAAGATTGAGGAAATGGGTTTTGAAAATTTAGTAGAGTTGGATTGAAGGAAGGGTTTTGGGTGGTGGGACGTGAGCATCATTAACGATTACTTTATCTTTTTCCTCTCTCGCTTCGATTTGGATGTTCAAAGAAGCAAGAGAGAGAGAGAGGGGGGGGGGGAATGTGTTTGAGAGAGAGAGAGAGAGTTGTAGTTGTAGACTTGTAGCCTTGTTGGAAATAAATGCAATATTTAATTATCTCTGCGTGTATATAAAATGTAGAGAGAGAAGGTTGGGTAGATATAGACATGGAAGGTATGAAGTGAAGTGCTTTGTCTGCTTCAATGAGACGCCTTCATTTCATCTCATTCCTTCTCAATTCTCATCCTTCTTATACGGACTACGGATTTTTCCTCTCTCTCTTCTCCCACCCTCTCTCTCTCTCTCTACTTCATTTGAAAACCAGGTGTTTCCCTCTGCGTGATTCAAACGTTCCTCTTTTTAACAGTTTACCGAGGCAACAAACAAACAAATCCCAAGGGGAGATTGTACATGTGGCAGTTAGACAATGGATAGAACCCTGGGTCCCACCTCCTGACGTGGCTAACCACCTGATATCTAGGGATTTTACTCTGATTGATGTTTTAGTGGAGTAGATCATCTTCAGTTTACACCATGCATAGAAGACTTCAGCCCAGAAATGGATAAAAAAAAGACAAAAAGAAGGGATAAGAAGACTTAAAGAGCCCCCTTCGATTTAATGCAACTGAAGACCAGCTTGACCTTTTTCTTTCTTTCACCCTTGGATTCTGGAATCGGGAATCTGGACCAAACTACATCCCTTCCGGTTACCCGTTTATCCGACCCGACTGACATGTCATGGGGCCCAAAGTACTGCTCTCAAATCTTAACCATTGGATGTGGAAATTCTTTCTAGGGGAATGAATGTCTAAACCCTAAAGTTTAAACCAATTAACCTTAATTTAACCAAACACTTATTTCAAGGCACATGTCAACAAAAACCGTTCCCCTTGCGACATTTTCAGCTTTTTTTTCATTTATTTATATTATTTCATTTTGTTAAATATAGTTTATTAATATTTAATTTGATTAGTTAAAAAGTATTTAAATGCCCATATTAAGGCGATATAGGACTAATACAAGTACATTAACTCTAAAGCCCAAATGATCATTGGTGAGATGGGCGGTCAATTCGAAGAATTCCATGTATGGAATTGGCAAGCTAGGATAAGTATTTAAACTCTCTAATTACAAGTCTTTTTCTTCCTTTTCTTTATTGTTTTGGAGGGTGGGGTTTATCTCTTTGTACACAATTTGCTTCTTAGTCTTGGGCCAATTGCCAAATTCATCTTTGGTTTCTTATTATTAGGGCTCTTGATTGGTACATACTATGAACTGGTTTGTTAGACATGATATATTTGTATCAAGATAAACAAATCCTCTATATCTATGGAAAATTTCAGATCTAGTATTATTAAGTATAATATAGAACTAATGTAGGCTAAGATCTCTAAATACATGACAGCTCCAATTTGTCCTTTCTTTCACTACCAGTATAAATTAGGCAAACACTAAGGTTGCGTTTGAATGCAGTGTAAAAGTACAATTACACCGGTTAAGTTGCATTGGTTTTCGGTGTTTAATTATACTCCATCCAAATCCAAACAAATGCAGCGTAAAGAACCCATTTTCCTAATTGAAAGAAAAACAACTTACAAACAGGTCTCTTGACCTTTTCCTTTTCCTTGAGACAATTTGAGTTGGCCATGTTGTGTACCTCATTCCTCAATCAACAATCAAGCTATGTTAATGGAAGCCATGGAGAGAGAGAGAAGGGGGGGGGGGGGGATTCACCTTCTTTTCCTGGTGCCAACTGTGCTGTCACTTGTAAGATTCTTGGCTTACAAAAATTTCTCTAAACAATTCCTTTAAGCTAACGCTTGCCACTTTTGACAACATGAGAGGAAGAACAAGTAGATGATGTGAGATGGGGCCATGACAATGGAGTAGTTAGGCAAAACAAGACATGAATTAATAACACAAGATGCATTGCATCGTAATTTCATTCTCTGTTGTCCTTACTAGAGATAAGATCAACCCTTTTAGAGAAAAAGGAGAGAGAGAGAAGCACTTGACTACTCAGATTCTACATTTTAGAAAGACAAAGACATTCTCTCCTTTTGTGGCGTTAGGTGGGCTTGTCTAGTCCAAGGGTATCAAACCACTTGTCAGTGTTCATTCTGGCCCCCATCAAACAACCTCATTACGTTTCCTCTTAAGCTCTCAATCAGAATTGTGTTTTAAATTGTAATGCCCCAACAAGGGAATGGGTAGAGGAAGGGATGATGGTTATGTGTGTGGCATCCACCAACTAATCCTATTCATTTCACAATTCTCCTGGTGACATGGGTAGAAGAAGAGAAGAGATGATGTTCATGTGGATCAATCACCTCTGCTCTGGTTTTCTGTGTTTTGGTAAGGAAAAGGATATTTTTTTTCAACTTTTTCTATGTTCTGCTCATTTTTAGGGCTTTTGCATCATAAAGTGGTGTTAAGTTTTCAAAACTTCTCTGAGTCAGAGAAAGGAAAGGCTCAGTAAATAGTTCTCTTCTTACTCTTTTTGCAGGAACCTGCAAAAGCAGCTCAGGTGGGTACTATTAGATGGTTTTTAACTGTTCAAATTTGAACCCAGAATGGCGGGCTCTCTCTCTCTCTCTCAAATGTCAGTTACTTTCTGCAGAGGGAGAGAGAGAGATGGATAATGAAATAGGCTGAAAACTGGAAAGAGACAGATGCATGAACTTGGGTGAGCATACTTCAATTAAAACCGAATAACCGAACTGAAATTTCGGGTCGGTTAATTCGGGTATTTGGTCCGGTTCGGTTATAAACATTGGTTTCTTAGATGTTCGGGTTTCAGTTTCAGTTATTGTATTTAGCAGTTCGGCTAATCAAAAAACCGAACTTCTATAGGTAAATTAGTAATTTCCTAAATCTCAGTAGAATGGGCGCACTAGGATATTCAAAGAAACGCAAATCCCCCTCCCCTTCCCCTTCGTCGGTTCATCTTCCTCTCCGACCTGGGAATTAATCGAAAAATTGATATTAATAATTTCCTAAATTTGTAATTGTTTCCTCATATCATAGAAATTATGAAGTAATGTATGATAATAGTTCTTTGCAAATTGATATTTATGTTTAATTTTTTGAAGTTATATGTAACAGGTCTTTGTAAATGACCCACCTATTTGAAGTTTGGTTTAATTGAAACAATCGAATTAACCGAAAAAAATTTGGTTTAACCAAATTTTGGTTTCGGTTTACTTTTCAATTATATTAATTCGGTTTTGGAAAGTTAGATTTATTCGATTTGGTTTTAAACAAAACAAAACGTTTGCTCATCCCTAGCATGAACTGGTTTGTCAAACAACCATCACTCTATCAGGGTCTAGGGGGTCAATCTTCAAGCCCTCAACTTACAAAACTACACAACTCAGTCAGTTGGAGTGGGTTAGTAATTGGCAAGGTTTTTAAAATCGGATCGGACACGGAGCGGTTCTAGGGATCAGTTCCCAGGTCGAATGATCCAATTGTCCGGTCCGAAAGGATTGCCCATTCTGACAAAAAAGAAAACAGAAAAAAGCTAAAAATTATTGTTCGGATTGACGGTTCGACCACCTAATTTAACAGTTTATTGACCAAATCAATAGTTTTGGGATGAAATAAAATCAGTCAGGTAACCAATATTCCCAATTTTTTCCGGTGATTCCAGTTTTGAAAACACTAGTAACTGGAGTTATTTCTCACATAAAAGGGTATCTGCTTTGTTTAGGGAAGTAGGCTGAACAAGAAGGAATCTTCCACAGACCTTGGGGCCCAAAATTGCCCCCACCCCACATATTCCTCTCTATTCCCTATAAACGAGGTGAATATGACAAAAAACATTGACTTATGGTCACAATAAATTCCCATTTTAGACGAATTTAATATTAAAATATTAAATTTGCATCAACCAATATTACTTTGTGGAAGACAGTGATAAAAGGTGGGTCATAGACTCATGGAATGTGGGGGCTGGAAGATTGCACAAATGACCAGCAATCAAAATGATCCTCTATACTTGATAGATGGATTTGATCGACCATTTAATTCTCTCACATGAAATAAAAATATGGAAGGTTAGGTAGAGGAAAGCTTCCTACTTGACCCAATTAGGGTATCTTATCCAAAAATAAAAAGGCAAACGACTAATGTGGCAAAGAATTTCGTTAAAACATGAACACAGGTTAAAAAATATTGCAATTTATTGGCGCATATTATATGATATGTATGGTTTTTGAATTTAGGCAGGGTTTTTAAGTTTTATAACTTTTAAGATACTTAATTATTAAAATAAGTCATTTTCTAAGCATTAATGAGATTTATGAGTTTGCTGCTAAGGTATGACTAATTATTTTACTTATTTTACAATTTCTTCATATATATTTTTATGTATTTATAACTAATATTTAGGATGATGATTCTGTAATTAAGATGGCCACTCAGCACCCCTCATAATATGGAGGTGCGAGAACAAACTCATATGGCTGGCCGCAGGTTCTCAGTGGTGAGTAGACCTGTTGATGGGCCGGGTGGCTCGACGGGCCAGCCCGGCCCGGCCCGGCTTTCGGACGGGCTTGAACAAGCTTTTTGGCCCACAGGTTTAATCTTGGGTCAAAAAGCCCGACTCACATAAAATTCGAGCCGGGTTCGGGCTTTGTCAAAATAGCCCGGCCCGACCTAATATTAAACTTAAAATGAGTTATGTGATTATATCCATTTGAATAATTTTTTTGATTTAATAATGTAAAATTGTGTTTTAAAATATAAAAGAAAGGGAAAAAAATACTATCTTGTAGGCCTATTGTTCATTTAAATAGAAAAAAAATACTATCTGAATTTTTAATTCTAATTTGAATAAGAAAAATTATTTTTTTTTCAATTAGGTCGGGCTTCGGGCTCGGGCTCGGGCTTCAGGCTTTTTATCAGGGCCGGACTCGGGCCAAGTTATAGGCCCGTTGGTCGGGCCGGGCTCGGGCTCGGGCCTAGTATATTTTCATTAGTGACAAGTGAAAGCCTGGCCCGGCCCGGCCCATGAACAGGTCTAGTGGTGAGGTGAATGGACCTCACATGCGACTTTGAATCTCCTATCTATGAAAACTCTGTCAACGTCTACCCACACCACACTATCCCCTGTGAATTGGGAATATTTCCCCCTGTATAATACTATGTAGAGGTTGAAATGTTATCCATCCGGACTCCTCACATGCATCCTACTCTATACCCACCCCTTATATCCACATGTATCTAATGTATATCCTTACTCC